CCCGGGGGGTTCATTTCCGCCTGGGACGCGCCGTGAGGAGGTGTCAGGGCCGGCCCGGGGAGCGGCCGGCGCCTCCACCGCTGCAGGGGGGCAGGCTTATGCGTCGGGTGGGTGCTAGGGGGTTCCTGATCTCTCTGGGCATTTCGGGGTCGGTGTTTTCTAAGAAAGCAGGTGCACGGAGGCAATGGCTCTGCGGTGTGGTCTGACCCTACATGTCGCTTGAGGCTTCCCTTGTAGCGATGCCTCCGCACTTGGGCAGTGAAATACTGGTTTTTTATCTCAGATGTGGTAATACAGAGGGCTGTGAAGGATTAGCTTTAGGTCTAACAGGGTGGTAGGGCTTCTGCGGCTGCGTGTGGGCGAAATCTTTAGGCCTGTGAGTAATGGTCTCACCTGAATGAGGGCAAAGTATGAAAACGTTCAGAGTTTAGAGTCTGAATTATAGTGGCAGGATACACTACTTGAATCTTTTAATGACCTTGATTCTTAATTGCCGTTAAAATGAAAACCAAGAAAAATAAAAATAACTTCTTTTTCTGAGTGCCAGTGGACTTGCTTGAAGAAGTGGGGAAACTGTTTTCTTGTACTGCTAGCAATACCAAAGTGACTCGGTAAAATCAGTCAATCAATCAGCCTCAGTCCCTTGCGCCTCGTGGGATCTGCAGGCAGTGACATTTCTTAGAGATATTTTTCCCACTGAATTGCAGTAGACCATTTAGAAATGGGAGTGCAAAAAGTGTGTATTAGAAAAGGGCAATCGCATTGTGCTTATAAACGAAAATCTGTGCAGAAAAATCTTGGCATTTACCAAAATGTCCACAAAGGACATTGTGCTGCCAAGAGACTTGGGATATTACCACCCTGAAGGGGAGAGAAGCAACACACTTCAGACACACTTAAAGTAATTGTCAGGAGTGTGTGTGCCATTACTGTTGTAGATGACTGACCTCAGCGCAGAGCCAGAGGCGCTGGCCGCAGGCGGTGATCCTCTCGATCCTCTCGAGCTGCAAACTACTTCCAGGAGAGCTGCAGCCCCGGCGTGGGCTGGGGGGGTGCAGGCGGGGGCCACAGGCAGCCCGAGGGTGCTGAAGCAGAGAGAAGGAGTCAGCGTGGTGGGCAGCACCTGCGGCAGGTCCGCAGTGGGACTGTTGCCGCCTTTGCTGTTGGGGTTGGGGGCGCTGCCCTGTGGAGTGGCGGGAAGTGGGGACGTCCTTGCCCGAGGAGCACCCAGGTGAGGGGAGCAAGTGCCATGGCCACGGCGATGCCGGGAGGAGGCAGCGGAAGGGAGCTGGCGCAGGCTGTGAAGGACCTCGGGGAGAGACGGGCCGCGGGAGCGGGTGTGGGAGCGGCCGTGTGTGCCCGTGCGTGCGAGGGGTGGAGGGCTGGAGGGCTGGTGCTCGGCTGGGCCGGAGGAGGGTTCTGTGTTAATCATGGCTGAAGGCGATCAAGGCTGGGACAAGGACTCGAGACCGGAGGGTGGAGAGCAGGGTGGTGTCTTGTTTGCTGTTTTTCACTGCCATCAGTGCCATTACCCCTCTACAGCAAGAAATGCATTGGACCTCGTCAACTGGCATGTTAATGCTGGGCACAAACGAGGCCCATCCTGCCTCTCAGCTGCAGGAGACTTCTCACTTGTCTCTGACTTCTCCTTCTCTGCCCAGACAAACGAAGGAAGGAAGGGCAGGACAGCAGGATCTAATGGCTGAGAGCATGCCAAGGCTGCCCTGGGTGACCGCAGCCCATCTGGCCCACCATCCTTCTCTGGTAATGGCGACCTGGATTTCAGCGTGTCTTTGGAGAGAAACAGAAGGGTAAAAGCAAAAAAAACCTGGTGGGTTGAGATAAGGACAGTTAACAGGTGAAGCAGAAGCTGCATGCACAGGCAAAGCAAACCAAGGAATTAATTGGCTGCTTCCTGTCAGCCATCCCCCGGGCAGCGGGGCTCCATCCCTGTCACAGTGACCTGGAGGACAAATGCCATCACCCCAGACATCCCCCCTTCCTGCTCCTCCACCGGGGTTTATCACTGAGCACGACGTCCTACGGTCTGGGACACTCCCCAGTCAGTGGGGCAGCTGTCCCGGCTGTGGCCGCTGCCCTCTCCCTGTGCCCCCAGAGCTGCTCGCTGGTGGGGCAAGGAGTGGAACAGCCCTGGGTGCTGTGGGAGTGCTGCTCGGCCACAGCCGACACAGCCCGTGGTGTCACCCCGGGTTCCGCACAGATCTGAACCGCGGCCCCACGCCAGCTGCTGTGAAGAGATGGGGCTGCCGGCCAAAGCCCATACACCCCGGCAGCGTCTGGGCGGAGGGGGCAGGAGGGGTGTCCCGGGGGCAGAGTGGGGTGTCCTGGGGGCAGGATGGTGGGGGCTGCCCCTGGCCCTCCGCGAGGGCTCGGCCTCCACCCGTGGGGCCTCTGCGGGGCCAGGGCTGCTGCAGGCAGGAGTGGCGACGCTCTGAGCCAGCTTCTGAGGCAGTGGTTAA